CGTGCGCCTGCGCGGGGCGCCCAAGGCCGCGCGCCGTCCTGAGGCGATTTGCGCTGCCGTCCCTCAGAGCGCGGCCGGGAAATACAGGAGGCACCGGGCGAGCGGGCGCCTGTCCCCTTCCGAAGGGGAATTCTGCTCTGGGCTCTCCTGGGACGGTGGCTCAGTTTTCTGCCATTTAAGGAGCCATGATGCAGATTTCATGTTCTGTAATGAAACGGTGCTGGCTGCAGTGGTGCACCAGCCAAGTGAGCGGGTCCGACTCACAGGAACACATCAAAAGCAAGACAAAGCAATCCCTTTCCAATTGTGTGGTAATTTATGATCCAAACCATAACAAATTGCTGCTTCTGGGCAGTATGGTGCAACTTGTGTGTGGAAAATTAGAGGTGCCCAGTGAGTTCATCATGCTCTCCCAGTTCCTTTCCCAGATGGAACAGAAAAGGTCACCTCAGTCCTTGTTAGGACTATGTTAGCTACACATTACACTATGGCAACACTGAGAGACAGCTACGTCCCAGTCTTCTAGAAGCTGATACACGCCTCTGGGATCTTACAAACGTGCATTTACTCCAAAATGCTTTCAGAGTGTTCAACGACAGCGAAGGAGAGTGACCTTGTATTACCAGCAGTTCTGTCAATTACTTTAAAAGCTATGGAGCTCCATTTGGCTAAATGAACTAGTTGAATCCCACATGCTTTATTCACATTAAACTTCTTATTTTGTTCATTCTGGACTGCCACTGTCTTCCTGAAAAAGCTTTTGCTTCTTGGGAACTCTGTTTTCAGTTTGCCTGCATGAAGCAGTGGTCCTCTCAGAAATTCATCTGGCAGTAGGTTTTGCAGGATCTCAGCTCTGGCCCCTTCACCCCACACAGGCAACAGGGACCTCCCTACAGTTGGAAAGATGCAACAAACAAGGGCAGAAACATTGCCTGTATGCTGGCAAGGAAACTCATAGAACCTCACTTCTCAGGCTCCCTGGCAAGAAAAGGTGGTTCTTTCCATGACACAGTCCTGTTTGCTGGTTCTTTAAAAGAGCAATAAAGTGACCACATGATTTATTAGCTGGTACAAACGCATTTGAAAACATCTGCTTCCAAAACCATTCCTATGGTCACACCACCACCAGGACTGATGACCCTTTGGCCTGGGCAAGATTAAACAAGATATGGTGCCAGTGAGATGATGTTCTCCTGGGACATCTCCCTGAAGTGTCAGGTCCTCAAATACAAAGTCTATGTCCTGTAGTTTAATACCTAAAGAGGAAGATTTTCATGCATGAGATCAGTAACATTCTTGCCCTCTCAGCATTCCTTACTCAATCAGATCTTTCTAAAGAAAGCTCACTTGACAGAACGTAATGGCATCATCTGTTCTCCTGTAACTTTTTGGATCAATGTATGAAAATGAGGTCCATGGGAAGGGCTTATCCCCAACCTCAGACCTTCCTTGGTGCGTTCCTTCCTGGGACTATTTAAAGCTGCTTAAGAAATCCACCTCACTCTCACAGGGATGGTTAATACCTTTGGCATACACTGGAATTGCTTTAATGAAGTATGGTTAGATAAGAGCACAGCATGAATAAAAGCAGAGCAGACAAAGCATCAGTTGCTAATTTCCAGGAAAGCCTGGGTGGCTATACAGTCCTTGGTAAATTCCTGTGCTAAATAGTGAAACTTGTATAGAAGCTCTGCGGTCATAGGCAAAATTGTCACTTTTCTGAACAGGCTTCATCTCCTGTTTGTGTGACTTACAGTTATATATCCATTTCTTTCTAGACTGTATAGCCAGAAAGCAGGGTAAAGAGGATTTGACGTACTGATTTCAAAAGTATGCAAAAGCATTTCTTTGTCAGTGATGGAGTAAAATGACACTGTCTTCTTTTGTAGCTCCAGGAAAACTCCAACCTTCAATGGTTTATCCTTGTGTAATAGTGTTTCTTGATCCCTATGCCATGCTGACAGATGCTTTTTGGGACCTAGCCATTCTACACACCAGGAATGCTCTGTTCTTCCTAATTTATCCCTTTTACCAATCATTTCATGAGCAACTCCAACAGCCCATCCATCACTGTCCTTGGTAATTACTTACCAGCAGTGGCACCCAGTAGAGAAGCTCTGTGAACACATCGCTTGGCTGATGCAGCATCTGTTGGACAATGGTTCATAATCAGTTGGGCAGCTGAAAACCATTACTTTCCTGTTCTGGGCTGTGATTGCGAAGCACTCATATACTCTTGTGAGATCAAAAGTCACATCATCTGCCCCTAGAAGAGGGGAAAATATTCTCACCTGTAGGCAACAAGAAGGCAGATCACCTCAGTATTTACATCCACTGTAACTAACGGTGGATGTGCATCCCTACTCAAGAACAGAAATGAAAACCAATGATCATATAATAAACCTTAATCAAAGCTCAATCCTGTAAATCAGCACAAAGCCTCAACCAAACACTAACAACAGTATCCTGAGCATACTGAAACATGTAAGAGGCACAATCACGTAAACATCCATGACAGACTCATGCACTTCAGTGGGAAGGTGAAGATACTTGGCATCCTACAGGATGGATCTTATTCCTAACCACAATCTTATAAAAAAATTACCCTTTTACCAATAATAAATGGGACATTTACGTTAATAAAACTTACACAGTAATCTGTTCATTGAGACATTTTCTTGCATATTTTCTCAGCAAAAAGATTTGTTTTGTGTTTTAAGCTACAGCTGTAGTACTGTGTGTTGACTGTAAAAATGATGCAGAATTCAGACAAAAAATGGAGTCATTATGGCTTAACACAGTAAAGATCAGTGAGGTGCAGTAACTGCCCACACACCAGCTCAGACTCTGCAGCCAGCACAAGTTACAACACAGCTTATATGTCTCCATGAAACAAGTTTCTTATCCTTTTTATCCTGCATATGCAGTCAGGTATAGTATCGCATTATGTTGCAGTAACTGATTAATTCACAGTTACTTCATTGTGTTTCTATGCTTCAGGTAAACAGCCAGATCTCCTGCTGATGTTTGTAAGTACAATTTTCTTCTGCAAATCCACAGTCTTGTAATCACTTTAATATTGTTATTGAAGAGTCACGCTGGCTTGCATACTTACACTGAGAAAACTGGCTTGAAATAATTGGTTCTGGATTTTTAGCTGCAGACTCTGGAGATAATGAGCAGACACATCTCCTGATGTAAGTCTGGAGGTTGCCCTAAATACGAAAAAATTAAAGTGTTAAGGCACTTCTTCAAAATATAATTAAGAAGTATTTATGCTTCTTAAGAAAAACATACATTAAATAAACCTAGCTAGTGGTTAAAGTACAAAACAAAGAGTTGCTTTTTTGATTGCATAAATTATTAAGGGATGTGCAGGCAAACATATTTATCCAAAATTAACAAAATTCTGTATGCTGCTGCCCTAAGTGTGGTCAGAATGGAGCAGTCAGAAATGTTAGATGGGTAAAGCAGGTGGATCTTTCTATGCAGATAAGCCAGTTTCTGTCATAAAAGTGTTCATGGTGTTCTTAATTTTTTTCTGAGTTTCATGCATTTCTTGTGTTACTTGCACAGGCATTTCGTAATAACAAAGTAATTTTTTACTCTAATTGCTCACTGAAAAGCCTGACAGCTTTAAGGTCTGTTTCTAATTTTCTACGACATTGTAGTGCATATTTACAAGACTCATTTGCAGACACTTTCTGGTATAGTTACGTAATACATTGGCCTCATCATCAGAGCCATCCTTAAAAGTTCCTGCCCCACACCTCTGCCTGCAATTCCTCAGTTTTGCTCCTAAAAATGATTGTGGAGCAAAGCTGTAAACTCAATTGCTGAAATGATCAAGATAAGAAAAACCTTGAGGTAAAAATATTGTAAGTATCTGGGTTTTTTGAGAACCAGTGCTTGAAAAAGGCAGGTTTTTGAAAGAGTGGGAAGGGGAGGATTGCCCCTCAGCGGCAATGGGGTTTTAGGTCAGTCTTCAGTTGCTCTCAAAAACGCTCAGCGGTCTTTCTACAGCAGACAGATGGTGCTGGGAAGAGGAGAACTTCATAGCAAAAGCCATATCAGATCTAAAGCTTTGCTTAGACACAGTTTTTGGTGGGAAGGAATTTTATGTCTGCTCTTAGCAAAGACTTTGATGTTACATTACTCTATATTTAGAAAAAAATTATTTAAATAGACTATGTTTCATTCTCCGCTACTGATCTGCATGTCAGTTCTTTTCTTTTGGGCTCCCATGAAAGCAATATAAAGTAATCAAGTTGTCTCCAAAACTGCAAGGGGTTTTATAATAATCACACACATGCACACCTGTTTTCTCTGAAGGACCCTGCTATATCCACTCCCTCTAAGAAAGAGACGTCAAAATAAGGAAAATGCACCTGGTGGGAACTGCCGAGCATATTTCTCCAAAAGTAAAATTTCCAACTTTCTCTTAAGATCTTCTACAGCACTTTTAACAACATTAAGCTTCTCAACAAGTGCAATTTTATTCATTGTTGAAGGTGAGTCTTTGTACCTATGTCCCTCAGGTAAGTTACTCTAATAATGACATAAAAGAATCAAGGGGAAGATGTAAACAATAGCAGTTATTTCATCTAGCATAACAGATTATATTATAAAGCCAGAGTGGAAAAACAGCAGTGATCTCTGCAAAATCTTCTTCTCTGTATCAAGAGCTTCCTTTATAGGATAGTTATCCAAGAGAACTAACCTGAAATCTTACAGAAAATATGAAAGGATAGTTTATTCTTAATAAAAATTAAAATACTTTGTTTTCCCCAAGAAAACTAAAAATGGCACTAATTTTTCTTATATATATTACAATTTCCTTATGTATACATATGTATGTGCAAACTTTCTCCTTTTAAACTTTCTTCTTGTTCTAGAACGCAAACCAAAATTTTTAAAATGCTTTAGTATGAGATCTAGCATAAAACACCCACAAAATGGTAAGCCTCATTTGCCTAAATTTAGAAATTGTGGAAATCTACATCTCAGCTTGTTCTCTTAGTCTGCCTTTATAGTCTGTGGAAAGAAACAGGCCTTTTGCAGGCTTGATTAATCTCATTTGCAGGTAGGCGTCTCAAGTAGGCCAGATGACTCACGCTTTAAAATACTCGTTTCTCTTCATTGCCTGTAAGGGGACCCTGGATTAGATACAAATACATAGTTACACGAGGCAAATTCCAATGTAGGCCCCTGTGCCTTGGCCCTGGAAGTCCACTTCTGTCTCCTGGCACCATCACACCCCCTGAGCCCCACTCCAAACGCCTGCTAGCTAATTTGCATCATTGGCATTGTTGTTTTCAGCACCAAAATGGGCTCTGCCAAATTTAAAGTGCTTTAGCTGCCTTTTTTTGAGAGCCCTTGACTTATTTTCACCAAGAAAGTTGCTCAAAAGTACATAATAACTTTGTGAGCTCTTTAACTTGCATACGTATGTGTATATACATATTCTGGGAAATAAAAAGATAATAAAGAATCTTAACATTAGATTTGACTTGGGACTGGATTTAAGCAATGCAGTCTCCACCTCACTCCAGCTCACCAACATCCTTGGAACAAGTATAGTTCTGAATTGCATCTCCAGCCTATGCCTTTTTTAGTACTTTTTCCCCCTGAATTTCTCACTCCAGACTTTCCCTGGTAACAGCAATGTCTGTGGATTGGTATAATTGTCTCTAGTGAGAATAGTGCAGTGGGGACCTGAAAGTGCTCTGTACATAGCCAGCTATCCAAGACATTTAGCTTAAGAGTTTCTACTCATGTTCTGCCACTTCATTTCATCACTTACCATTTGGGCTTTGATGTCTGTGAGCTTGTTCACTTCAAAACAGAGCTGGTGAATAGTCTCTTCAATTTTCTGTTGAGCTGCGTTTTGCTTTTGTTCAATGAACATCAGTGTGTTTCTCTCCTGTCTTTCAACATATTCCTTCATGCAACAGAAATCTTTAGTAATCTGGCTTTTGATCTGAGAGGTATATTCCTGAAAGGCAGAAAACACGGAGTTCATTGTGTTGTTAGAAAAGATGTGTGGAATATGACTCTCCTGCCCCATATAACGTGCTCTTTGACCGACCCCTGCAGATCAGAAACAGCTACTTTATTCAAAGAAATAAAAAATATTTGACACTATCCTGCATTACCTGCAATGAGATTTTGGGCATGTTAAGGATCTTGACTTATGGCCAGCAGTCTTTGCTTGACAACTTAGAAATACCAATATTCCCTCTTTATGATTTGCATTTTGCATCTAAGAGTACCAGAAACATCCGGGCTACTCCTGGGGTAGGCAGTAAAAGGCAACAATGCACAATTCCAGTGGCCTTTGTGCCAGCCAAGACAGGAGTTAGTACAGCTGGTGCCATAGTTCATTCTCATCAATAAAAATAGAGTTGTGACAGCAAAAGAAGGAAACAAAAAAGGCAGATTCCTGCTCTGGGCTGGAAGGCTTCGCTGGAGTCAATCATGTCTCCAAGTGGCATCAGAGATAGAAGCTAACTGCAGGTAATAAATGTACAATGTGTACCTTTGTTGTAGTGAGATCTTTCCTCAAGAGGTGGATGGTCTCTGCAGTCATTTCTAGTTGCTTGGAGATGTCCCATATCTCTTCCTCCTTTAAAGTGACACATTGGACCATTTATCTATATAACCCTCAAAGAAAGCATGACTAGATTAAGCAGCAGGATAATAAAAATCCCTACATCGCTGACGTTAGTTAAGTAGTGGGACTGGCTGAGGAGGGGTCTGGAAGACAATTAATTCTGAGTGGGAATAGTCACAATGAAGTCAACATGCACCAGTTATTAATTACATGTTCAAATATAACTGTGAGCGTCAGCTCTTTGTTCGGCTGCAGAGACTGAAGAAGACCTTTTAGATACATATGTGATAAAATAATGAAGGTTAACAGATTTTTCTCATCTCCTGCAAGTTTGGGAGTTATTTTAAGCAGAGATCTAGATAATGAACCAGTCCCATTTTGTGCCATTCAGCTGGGTGGAGCTGTAGCACTATGTAACAACGTTATGTGTCCTTTCAGGAGTCTCCAACTCTATGCTGGTGCAATAAATAACACCCAGCACAAAGAACAGTTAGTTATTACTATTGTACATCAGCTGAATACATACAGCTATCAGTTCTTCTAATTCAGCTATGCAGTCCCCACCGTATCAGACTCCGCCGCCAATGAACCCCAAACACTGCTTTAGCTAAACCTCTCTGCTCAACACACACGATATCGTTACGACAACTCTCATATCAGCATGGGAAATGCAAACTATCCGGTGGGGGGCGGGCGGGCCGAAAAGAAAGATAAAGCTCACTCAGCCCTAGCCACATGCCCAGGCTCATGACCCTGGTGAAGTATTTGGAGTTGCGGCCAGAGCTGTGGGGGGCTCGGCGAGGAGCTCCGGGCTGCGTCCGGCCCTACCTTCTCCCCAGGTCGCCGCCCCGCCGAGCTCCCGTCGTTGCAAACAAGTCCGGAGCGTTTCGGTTCATCCTGCGTTTCCAACTCTCCTTCCGTTACCTCCTGCTGGGTTAAATTGACCAAAGCGGCCAGCTCCGGGTCGGGCCGCAGGTCCTTCAGCTCGAAGCCTTCCCGGCAGAGC